GGTGCCGGCGCCGCGTCCCGGCGCTCCGCGGGGTGCTGGAGCCCGCCGGGCCGCGGCGCCCGGCCCTCCTGCGCCAGCGACGCCCGGGGAAGAGCACATCAAGCGATATACAGGCCAGACTCTCTGGGAGGAACAGCAACGAGGATGTATTTCATGCAACAGTCCTTTTCCCGAAGGCGTCGCGGGGGCGGAGGCGGCTGCGCGGGGCTGCGTGTGCACGGCACACCGGGGCTGTGTGGCGAAGGGCGGGAGCGCGCGGCTCCTCGCCCTTCAGTGCAGTGCTCGGAGTAGAAAGAGAATCAAAGTGGGTTTTATTAGTCTCGTAGAAAGGCCCCCCTCCCCGTGCGGCGGCGCTGCAGAGGCCAGGCTGCCTGCGCGGTCAGCTGTCTACCAGCTGCTTGAGCGCCCGCTCGATGTTCATTCGGTGCCCGACCCGGGTTACCCCCAACTCCACAAAGTCCTCCTTGGTGAGGGCGGGCAGGTGCGTGCCCTCTATCTCATGGTCCTCAAACTTGTCGCGGTGCTCCACCAAATTGATGCTTTCCAGCCAGTCCCCGACGTCGTACTTGTTCCAGAGGTGCAGGGGTTTCTGCATGAAGGGCCGCGGCGGGTGCAGCGCGTGCAGGGGCGGCCCTGGCGAGGGGGACGGGGACGGGGAGCGGCTGCGGGCGCTCACGCTCCTCACCACGAAGCGCACCTCCTTGGGCTCGTGGGGGATGGAGAGGCTGGAAGATTTGAGGATGGTGGGGGGCGTGAGGCCGTAGGGCCGCACGGTGCTGAGAGGCTCTGTCCGATCCAGAGCGGGCTTCACGGGGCTGGGGGTGCGCCGGGTGACGGGGTAGCGACTGCCGGGCCGGACTGTGTAGGTGGTTCCGGAGCTCCGCTGGGAAATGGTGCTGAGTTCTCCTAAACTACTGAAAAGTCTGCGGAAAGAACGGCACAGCGAGAGAGAGAGAGAGCAGAGGGCAGGGGTGAGGCGGAGAGGCCCAGACACACGGACACACAGACACAGAGACGGGGCGGCCGCCGGGCCGGGGGGCTCTGCCTCGCGCAGCGGCGGCCGAGGCCTCCCCGGGGAGCCCCCCGCGGGCCGGGCCTGTCCTGGGGAGGGCAGCGCGGAGCCCTGCAGCGCGGGAGCAGCCCCGGCGCCGGCCCTGCCGCTGCATGCACCGCTGCATGCACCGGTGCAGCCGCGCACGGTGCCCGGCGCGGCTGCAGCCCCAGGGCTGCTCGTGCAGCCGCCAGCGCCCGCGGCCGCGCGGCCCTTGGCACAAGCGCAGGGCCCCGAGCGCCCGGCCCCTCCGGGGGCAGGAGGGAGCCTCGCGGCGCCTCTCCAAGCGATGCCTCCGCGGGTGACGCCGCGCCGCGGTGACAGGCACGTTCGTGCAGGGCCCAGGCAGCAAGAAGGAGCCTGGCCGGGTTTTGGGGCCCTGGTGCCTTGTCCAGCCGGCGCCGCCGTGCCCTGCACGTGCACAGGGACGGCACCAGGATGGCACTAGGACGGCCAAGCGAGGCCACCCCTTCCCAGGCACGATGCGACCTCGGGAAGAGCAGAGCTCCCCACGGTGCGGCCCGCGGCGAGGAAGAGGGGCCGGCGGGAGAGCAGCCCCACGCAACACCCCTGCCCTGGCACCGCCTGCTCCCTGTGTTCCCTCTCCTGCCGTAAACAAGTACTCCCAGTTGGGGTTTTTTAGAAGAAATTGATGTAAAAACCGACAGGACAAATCCACAGAGCTGAGGTGTTCTGAGCTCGATGACCTGAGTCCCTCAGCTGGGCGTGCGGAGGAGGCAGCAGCTGCACCGGCCCCTGCCCGCGCCCTGGGGTCCCCGAAGCAGCCAGGCCACGGGTGCCCACCGAACACCAGCAATTCCCAGTGATCCCTTTGATCCTGCTCCGGGAGTGCGGCGCTCGGGCAGCCGGCACAGTCACCCCTGGAATTGCTGGATCGCTGCTGGAGGAGCCGCGGCACCCACTGTCCCCAAGCCGCGGCCTCGCACGGCACCACCGCGCAGCTCTCAGCGAGCAGCCAGAGTGGCTCCGAGCAGCGCCCGTGTCCACGGCAGCCCAGGGGCGCACCGCCTGCGCCCCAGCGCTGCAGAACGCGTCCCTGCAGGAGCCCTGCGCCGCTCGCTGCACACCCCACGGGCAGCCTGCCTCCTCCCACGGGGTCTCTGCTCTCCTCCCCGGTGCCCGGGGGCTCTCAGCTCCATCCCCTTCCTTGGGGACGGGCAGGTCTCTGCGGTTCCTTTACCAGCAGCGCCGCGGAGCAGGAGCTCGGTGGAGACCTTGCACTGTGCACAGCAGCAAGGGCTGCTGAGGGGCTTCACCAGGATCGCTGCTTGCTCTCCTTCCCCTCTAGCTGGAGATGATCTCTGCAAGCTGCTAGGTGAAGTCTCAGGCATTACAGCGGGTCTGTGAGATCCCTGGCTCCCGTAGCGCAGAGGGCTAACCTTGGAGACTTCAGAGCGCACCCGTGAGAAAGAGAAGTTACTCAGACAGCAGAAAACTGTAAACAAGTCTAAGGAAGTTTCAGCTACAGAGCAGGGTGAGAGAACTTGCAAAACTGACCAAGCTGAAGTGTGTCCAGTCACAAGCTTGTTATCGTATGTTGCTGACTGCTGCAGCCAATAAGTCAAAGACATGATTTTACATAGAATATGTAAAAGAGTATGTATGGCATAATAAACCTCTCTCTATTCTCTCTGTAATTATTTCAACCAGGTGTCAATATTAGTCTGCCACGACAACGGCAGTGATGCTACCAAGACCTTTAGCTCTGGGGGGTTTAACGAGCACCTCGGTGTTGCCCACTTCTCCTTTAGGCAGAATCACGTCGATGCAACTCGAGCTCAGGAAGGAAAACAAAAACCTTCCTCCACCTTCCATTCACGGCAGTGCTTCACCGGGGCCCTGGAGAGCAGTGGCAAAAACGGGCCGACTTGGATATGTCCTTGGTTCCATGTGAGACAGGGAGTGACAGCGGGAAGAGCTGCAAGGATTTCCCTTCTGGATGGATGAAATGCAGGTTCTGACAGCTCTTCACCCACGTTTCGTGGTGCTCAGTGGCTGGAAAGTGTTAGCTCTGGTTGTCTGGATTCCTGCACTTCAGCGGAGACAAGAGAGATGAGACCCTCAAGACAAGGACTGGGAGCCAGATCCCTGCGCACAGCAAACGAGTGGGACCGGACGAGCTCGGTGAGAGGAGGAGAGCAGGTCTCACGGGGAGCAACCTCCTAATGCAGGCGGAGAAACACCAGCTTGTGAAAACTGCAGTTATATCCGAAGCAAAAGGAACTGCGTATTTGTAGGACAGCTAATTAAGCCTCCTGGGAATGTTGTTACTGAGGTATTCAAAAGCAGATTTCGTGAATGAGTCACTAATGGAGGAGTATTCTCCCAGCGAACCGTGTCTCGGTCCAGATTTCCTCAAGAACAACAAAGACAAGGACAGACTCAGCAGCTAAGTAACGCGCTGAGCACCATTCCTCTGGATTAGCAAGGCTTCCTTGCTGCTGCTTTGTGCTCCCTAGGTGTTTCCATACTGACCTTAAAAAAATTCCTGGCTTTTCATCAGAATTGCACTAACTGCTGGGAGAAGGATTCAGCTCCTGTGTGGAACAACCTTCACCATGATAGACCCAGCACTGCCCGTGTGATTCCCATGGGTGCGTGGAGCACCACGGCACCCGTGTCACCAGTGTGACCATGAGGACGGTGCTGCCCGTGACCACGACCAGCCTGCGCTTCAGGGTCCGATTCCCACCCCCCTTTGAGGGCCTATTCCCACCTTCCCTCGCTTGGAATACAGACGGACACTGTGGGTCTCCCTGCCTGCGCAGATGACCCCTCATCCCTACAGCTCCCATTTCAAACGCATCTTGACTTTGTCTTCCAGGAGGTTTTCGTGAAAAATGTCTCCGAAGAGGGAGAGCAAGAGGGAAGGGAATGGAAAGGACGGAGGCTCCCTGGATAACCTCCAGAACGAGAGGTGGGAGCTCGTCCGCCTCCTGCCACCGTGAGGACAACACATCTGCCAAGCCGGGCATCAGCTCACTGGCACCGGCTGGCTGTTTTGCAAGGGAAAGCGATGCAGAAGGACAAGCAATATTTTCCATAGTCCCTCTGCAATGCCGATGCTGCTGACGCACACTGCTCAGAAGAAAACGGTTTGGATGGAGTGCAGGTGGAGGAGGATGGGACCGTGGGACCCTGTGAAAAGCGAGGGGCTGTAAGCTGCTTTGCCAAGGTCCCCGGGCCAGCCCGATCCATGAAGGAGCTGCATTCCTTGCAACAGGCATGCAGGGCAGCCCCGTGGGGCTGCAGGCAGCATGCAGCAGCGCCCGCAGCTGCACTCGTGCAACATTTATGAGCTGCTCGCAGGGAGCCTTTTCCCACCCACTGCTCTTCCCTAACTCCCGAATTACAGCGAGGAATTTGCTACTGGCCTTCAGCAAAAGAAGCCCAGAAGAGGACATGCTCCCATAAAGAAATGTTGCTGGGAAAGTGGTGCACAGCAGTGCGTGTGGCTTATCCAAAACAATACCAAGAAGGAGGTTCTAAGTTTCGAGTATCCTTTCCTTAGGTCTCTATTGCTGCAGCCAGCACTTCCATTAGAGAAAATAAATCTGGTGCTCCCAAATTATCCTCTTTCACAGCCAAAAAACAAAGGGAAGCTGAGAAGGAAGGGAGGAACCTACAAAACTGTCACAGACAAGTGGGGTGAACTGCACGTCCAGGGACAATGGGGTATCTGCAAGGCCTGGTGGTGATGAAGGAGATGCTCCTGCTCAGACGAACAGAAGATTCGAATCCTGGTTGACACCAAGTTGACCATGGGGCAGCAGAGCCCTGGTGGGCAAGGAGGCCAGTGGGCTCCTGGCTGCATCAGGAGGACGTTGGCAGCAGGGCAGGGAGGGATCCTGCCCCTTTGGGGAGCACCCAGAGCCTTGGGGGCAGCTCTGGGCTCCCCGGGACAAGAGGGACATGGAGCTTCCAGAGGGGCCAGCGCAGAGCGACAGGGCTGAGGAAGGGCCTGGAGCAGCTGTGGTGTGAGGAGAGGCCGAGCGAGCGGGGCCTGCTGAGCTGGAGAAGAGGAGGCCGAGAGGGGAGCTGGTCAGTGTGTGCAAGCAGCCGAGGGGAGGATGGAGGGAGGAAGGGCCGAGCTCTTGTGGGTGGTGGCCAGTGGCAGGCCAAGGGGCCCTGGGGCCAAGCTGCAGYGCAGGCAGCTCCACGTGCCCGTGAGGAAGAGCTTGTTTGGTGGGAGGGTGCCCGAGCCCTGGCCCAGGCTGCCCAGGRAGGCTGCGGAGGCTCCTGCTCTGCAGATCTGCCAGCGCGCCGGGATGCGCCCGGGTGCCCCGTGCTCTGGGTGTCCCTGCGGGAGCAGGGGCTGCACCGGGGGAGCCCTGGGGGTCCCTTCCAGCCTCAGCCGTCCTGGGATTCTGTAATCCAAAGAAAGAAGCAGGAAGGCCCCCTCCATTTTCGTGCCTACAAGGATCTCTATACTTCCCGTCATCCCTACAGCACGTGCTGTGGGAAAGTTCGCAGAAAACACCAAACTGGGAGGAACGGTTGATAAAGCAGGTGGTTATGCTGTCCTTCACAGGGGCCTTACCAGGCTGCACGAAAAGGACAACGAAATTTCATGCAGCTCAAGGGGAAATGCCAAGAGCTGCATGAGGAGGAGAACAAAACCACGGGCCAGTATGCAGTGACCTGCTGGGAGCAGCTCTGCAGAAGGACCCGGGGACAGCAGGGGGTCCCTGGGGGCCCCAAGGGCAGCGGCCTCCGGATCCGCACAGGGAAGAGCTGCTGGGCAGGGAGCAGGGAAGGGCCCGAAGGTGACGAAGGGCCCGGAGCATCTCCTGGATGGGCAGAGCAGGGAAAGATGGGGATCTTCAGCCGGGACGGGTGAAGGGCCGGGGG